CGCTTGGTTGAGACTGTTATCTGCAAGGCCACCACTCCCTGACGGATCCCAAAATGAGAAACTGTCACTGCACTCTTCCCATGGCCCGGTCCTAATGTGTGACCTGCAGCCCTTGAAGGAAGGCTGGCTTTTCCCTGGCTGTACCTCTGAAGCTTGAAGGGGTTAAGGAATCTGCTCAGAGTTCCACGGAGAGGATGAGGCAGAGCAAGGATTTGAACCGAGGGTTGACATACATCAGAGCCTTGCTTTTTACCTCTAGTGCTATATTAAGCCTGTCCACCCTTCAGCTGATTGGCTCAGCGAGGGGAGGAGGCTTTGTGGGGGATTTGTTCGCGGTTGGGGCGGCTGCCCCCCTCTCATATCAAGAGATGGGAAATAGTGCTGACGTCAATTGTTGCCATGGTGATGCAGCAACCCTTTCCCTGCCGTCTCCATGGAAACCTGGGGGGTCCATCTGTACTTGGATTCGCCCCCTTCCTTCTAAAAGGGGGTCCCTTAGGGAGGGGCTAGCTAATAAGGTATCTGTGAGAGAAGTCAGAGAAGGCAGCAATTCAAATGTCTTTTTCTGGGTCCCTTGTCATTGCTCAGGCCCAGGCTAAGACTTGGGAGCAGGGGGTCCTGTACCGTAGTCTCTGGGCAGCCCTACCCTTGAGAACGAGACATGTAGCATTACCTTTCTAACTAAGGATTTTTCTAGAAGCTGTCCCTTCCCTAGGCTCCAGATCCAACCCTCTGCAGAACGGTGACAGTCTCCATGGCTGCCTGGCTCTCTGCTACCCCTTGAAATCAAAGGTCAGAGTGCCAGCGATTTCAGCTTTTTTCAAAGGCTGAGTCTGGCCTCCTACCTGGTAAGGTGTAGATATGACCTTACCAAAAACCTCGTAGAGGGGTGTAACACTCCCTGCTTCCAGACAAGAATGTGGAAGCTCAGAGAGGCTTAGACGTAGGCCCAAGGTCGTTCAGCAGGGAGTGGCAGAGACAGGACTTGAACTCAGGATTGGAGTTGAAGCCGGAGGTTTTTTCTAGATAGGAGGATGGAGAAGAATAGAAGACAGAGAAACAGGAGGATGGAGCCCAGCCTGGTCTGTTGGCTGCAGAACAAAGTTCAAAACTCCTCAGCTCGGGCCTCAAGGCTTCCTTGATGTACCTTTTCTTCTGTTGAGCGGTCCCTTGAGTTTCTGCAGTAGATCCAGACTCTCAGCATGCAACACCGTCTGGGCTTGAGGAGGTGAAAACTTCATTCCAGAAACGGCTTTCCACCTTCCTGCCTTAAAACCTTTGCCCACAGTGTTTCACCTGGGATGGCCCTTTCTTTGGCTCATGGGGCAAGTTAGCACAGCTGTGATCTGTCTGGCAAGGTCAGCGCCTCAAGTCAGGCTCCCTTACAAACCAACCATATAGGAGGTACAGGAATGCTTAAGTTACAGGGTTTTAGAGTTTTTGTTTGTTTGTTTTTAGCATTTTTATTTATTTCGTATTTTTATGGTCTTTTTAAATAAAATGAAGGTTGAGAAGAGGGTGGGGCAGGGAAGGAAGTACCAGAGACAAGAAGAAAAAGGGCAAGTGGAAGGATTTGGCATTCCAGGGCTGGATGAGTCCACAAAGCCTAGCATTTAAGGACCACCTGGGCGAACTCGTGAGGAAATCAACACAGGGTACTTTAGCTGGGTGTGGTGGTACTGTAATCTCAGTCCTGAGACGGTGGTAGGAGGTTGTCGAGTGCCCGGCTAGCCTGTGCAGCATAGAAAAGCTGCCTTAAAAATTAAAAACGGGCCGGGCGATGGTGGCGCACGCCTTTAATCCCAGCATTCGGGAGGCAGAGGCAGGCGGATCTCTGTGAGTTCGAGACCAGCCTGGTCTACAGAGCTAGTTCCAGGACAGGCTCCAAAGCCACAGAAAAACCCTGTCTCGAAAAAAAAAATTAAAAAGGGGGTGGAAAGATGACTCAGCAGCTAAGAGCTCTGGCTATCATCCCAGAAGTCCTGGGTTTGATCCTCAGCATCCACACAGTGGCTCACAACTGCCTTTAACTGCAGTTCCAGGGGATCTGACGCCCTCTTCTGGTCTCTGTGGACAGTGCATGCCCATGGTGAGCAGACTGGTGTGCTGGCAAAACATACACACATATAAACGAAAAATAAATCAGTCTTTAAAGAAAAAAAAAACTGGCAGAGCTCTGTGAATTCGAGGCCAGCCTGGGCTACAGAATGAGTTCCAGGACACGCAGGGCCGTTACACAGTGAAACCCTGTCTTGAAAAAAAAAAAGTTAAAAAAGAGAGAGAGACTGAAGTTGGGGGAGTGCTTACCTAACAGGTGCAAAGCAAAGCATGGGCTGGATCCCCAGTGCCAAACAAAACTGGTGATGGCACAAGCCTATGGCACAGGCCTATGGCTAGCCTTGGCTACCTAGTGAGCTTGAGGTTAGATTGGGCTATATTAGATGCTGTGTTTTGTTTTTGCTTTTGTTTTCATTTCATTTATTTGGTTTTTCGAGACAGGGTTTCTCTGTAGCTTCGGGGCGTGTCCTGGAACTCCCTTTGCAGACCAGGTTGGCCTCAAACTCACAGAGATCCACCTGTCTCTGCCTCCCAGGTGCTGGGATTAAAGGTGTGTGCCACCACTGCCCGGCTTTTGTTTGCATTTTTTAATAAACAAACAAAGCAACCAAAAAGTAAATTGCCTTTTTCAGATGACCATGGAGTCTAAAGTAGTCTATCGAGAGGGTTGGACCTCTACCTCGTGTGGGCCAGGGGAGGGGTATGTTAGTAATTTACTCCAGATCTCAAAGGGTTGCTGATCAAACTAGACCTTTGGGTTACATCTCTTCATATTTAAAGAGAGGAAAAAAATACCCCAACCAATTAATAGGCCTACTGTAGTAGCACATACCTGTGGATCAAAGTTCAAGGCCAGCCTGGACTACAAAGTAAGTTTCTGGGGCTGGAGAGATGGCTCAGCGGTTAAGAACATCGACTACTCTTCCAGAGGTCCTGAGTTCAATTCCCAGCAACTACATGGTGGCTTACAGCCATCTATAATGAGACCTGGCGCCCCCTTCTGGCTTGCAGGCACATATGGAAGGAATGTTATACACATAATATAATAAATAAATGAATAAATAAATAAAGTTTCTGTTAAAAACAAACCAACCAACCTAAAGCCCAAATAACTATCACCACAATTATTTCTATGGAATAACAACAGCAAAATCGGAACATGTTCCACTTAAATGGGCCCCGTCTTGGGTATCTTCCTGTCATGGTTCCCATTATGGAGGAGGGAGGTTTCAAGGTATTTAGTTTGAAGACACGGACTAGTTGTTATGTCCTAGCATAACCCATTACCCGGGAAACCTTGGGCAACTCCTTTAATTCCTCATCTATAAAACAGGTAATTAAAAAATTTGGGGGTGGGGTGGGGTGGGCTGGAGAGATGGCTCAGTGGTTAAGAGCACCGACTGCTCTTCCAGAGGACTCGGGTTCAATTCCCAGTGCCTACATGGCAGCTCACAACTGTCTGTAATTCCAGTTTCAGAGGACCTGACACCCATATCAAAACCCAATGCACATAAAAAATTAAAGAATAAAATGAAAGAAATCGGAGAGCCAAGAATGGTGGTGTGCACCTTTAATCCTAGCACTCAAGGAGCAGAGGAAGGTGCATCTCTTAAATTCATCCGCCTCAGGCCGGGCGGTGGTGGGGCACGCCACCACCAGCACTCGGGAGGCAGAGGCAGGGGGGTCTCTGTGAGTTTGAGGCCAGCCTGGTCTGCAAGAGTTAGTTCTAGGACAGGCTCCAAAGCTACAGAGAAACCCTGTCTCGAAAAAACAAAACAAAAAAAAGTTCATCAGACTCATCAACAAAGTGAGTTCTAGGCCATGACAGAAAAGAAAAAACAGAAACCAAAGCTTGGAAGGTGGGGTGGGGTGGGTGGTGGGGATTGGAGAGGTGGTTTAGTGTGGTTAAGAGCAGCTGTTGCTCTGCAAAGGACCCAGTTTCCAGCAACTGCACAGTCAGTGGCTCAAAAACATCCTTAGCCTTCTTAGCTCCGGGAATTCAGCAGGCACACGTGTGATGCACACACATGCAAACAGGCAAAACATTTTTACACATAAAGCAAAATAAACACCTAAAAAAGTTAAAACACATTTACCCAATAATTTTCTCTTCAGTCAGCAGCCCCACTAGTCTGAACTGTAACCAAAGGCTCGAGCAGGTGGGGTCAGCCCTTGACCCCTACAGCAGGGAGCTGAATCCAACTCTAGCTTGGAAGAATTACATAGGCTTGCTGTGGTCAGCCTTTGATTTTCTTCCACATTGTCTGCTCATCTCCCCCGCCCCCTCAGTCTTAAGCAGGTGTGAGCAGCCAGTGTCTCCCAGAGAATGAAGATTTCTTTGGGGAAACCAGGACGGGGGCGGGGGGCACGACAGCTGGAGAATTCTGAGGGTAAATGGTAGTTACAAGAATTCCTTGCAAGAGGGTGACAAGCCCCTACCTAGAACAGTGGTCCTCAACCTTCTTCTTTTTGTTTTTGTTTTTCAAGACAGGGTTTCTCTGTGGTTTTGGAGCCTGTCCTGGAACTAGCTCTTGTAGACCAGGCTGGTCTCGAACTCACAGAGATCTGCCTGCCTCTGCCTCCCGAGTGCTGGGACTCAACCTTCTTGATGCAGTTAATACAGTTCCTCACTCATGTTGTGGTGACCCCCAACCATAGGTATTTTCGTTGCTACCTCTTAACTGCAATTTTGTTGCTGTTATGAATTATAATGTAAATATGTGTGTTTTCCTACAGTCTTAAGCGACCCCTGACTGGTTGCCACCCACAGCGTAAGAACCACTACCCTAGAGGGAGGCGGGTTGGGAAGTGGAGGTGGGTGGAGGGTTGGTCTGAGGGAGGAGGACCCCCCCCCCCATGGGATGGCTAGTGGGGCGGTACTGGCTAGGGCAGAGCAGCTCGATCCGACGGATACACATACACGGCCAGCCCGGAGTGGAAAGAACAGTTTATGCTGTGCTTTATTAAAATGTGCATCATTCTTTTATTTTAAAATGTGCATCATTGTCTCGTGCTCGGCGCGTGCGACCTCAGCGTGGTGGCCCGCGTCTGGCCTCGTCCTGCCCGGCTCCTGCGGAGCTGCCGTGCACAGGCGCACTCAGGTGGCACGGGCCCGGGGGCTCCCGCCCATGGCCAGGTAGACGTCGATGGGCACGTGCAGCAGCGTCAGACAGTGGCAGCCGGGGCAGCGTCGGAGCGGCCTGGCGAAAGCGGCAGGCGACAGGGGGCGCATAGTGTTGGGGCGCGCCTGGGGTCCTCTAGGGTAGGGCCCTGGGGATGGCGATGGGGCGGGGCCGAGGGACAGAGGGCATCCGCCTCACCTGACAGGGTTATGATCCGTAGCTACCGGCTCCGGGCTGTCCTGGGACTCGGGGGCGGAGGCAAGGCCAGGAGAGTCTCCGGCCTCAATGGGGAATCTTCGACCCTGTGGGGTCTCCTGGGCACTCATGTCCAGGGCCCGGGGCACTCTGCGCGGGGAGTGACGATCAGGCAGCTCCGGAGCCTTGGACGCTCCCTGCCCGTGCTGCTCGTGGGTCGTGGCTTACCTGCCGGAGGCCGAGGCCGGTCCTGGGCTGGAAGCAACTGCCCGAGCCCTGGCGGCGGGAGGACGCTCCGGTCCAGGCGGAGCCTGGCAGGTGTCTGCTGCGCGCAGGGGCCCCAGTGCCGAAGGGGAGGGCTGCATTGTGACCCTGGGCTCTGCGTGCTGACCTCACACAGCCTATTCCACGCTGGAATTCTAGGCCACCCTTGGCCATGTGGGCATTTAGTGAGGGCCCGGGGCCTGAAACCAAAGGGCTCTGGCGACCGCAGTGTGGTGACCGGTTTGCACTATCTCCCAACAGCTCGATGGAGACTTCGGGGATGAGGGAGACTTGCCTGGAAGCAGAACCTGGCTTCCCTGGCCTACAACAGCCACCGGGGTCCCTTCTCCGGCACTGTTACCACTCGGTGCCGTACTCAACTCATGAATGACTTAACTCAGGCTGGGTTTGCTGGTGGTGGCGAGGGCAAGTAGGGACACTGCCCATGTTGTCTGAGGGTCACACAGCATTTACATCACAATTGGGCAGGAGTTTAAAAATGTCTGGTCCTCTCCCTCCCCACCACCTGTGGCTGTGTCCAGAAGGAGAATGTTCTAGCCCTGGAGGCGGCTGTGGATGAAGTCCTTGGGGGGAAAAGAAGCAGGCAAAGGGCGATGGTGGAGTAGCGCTGCCTCGCAGAGGCAGCATGAGCTGAGAGGTGACGAAAGGGGGCGCTACACAGCATGGAGGACTTTCTTCTCTCCAATGGGTACCAGCTGGGCAAGACCATTGGGGAAGGGACCTACTCAAAAGTCAAAGAAGCATTTTCCAAAAAACATCAAAGAAAAGTGGCAATTAAAATTATAGACAAGATGGGAGGGCCAGAAGGTGAGCCGGGGCCCTTTGGAGGGTGGGCTAGCAGACGTGGGTAGGTGCTTTGCTCAGTCAGAAATAGTTCTTCCCTTTTGGTGACCGGCAAAACAAGCCAGATTACTGCCCTCAGGTCTGTAATAGACGGATGTGAAGATCCAGGCTGCACTGTCCATATTCACAAATACATGGCAAAGGGGCCTGTTTTTCCTATCCCAGGAGGTATTGGCTAGATGACAGGAACTGGTAAGGAGAGGTGGAAAAGGACAGGAAAACAGGGCTCCTGGAAAGAACCCTGGGATTCAGTAGCTTTATTTGAAGTTCCCAAGTACCCCCTTATCTGTGGTTTCACGGGCTGCAGGGAGCAGGTTCCAGGAATGAGCTAACTATGAAGTAAGAAAAGGGGATATATTTGCTGCGAGAACATCTGAGACTATTCAGGGAGTCAAGGAGGGACACACAGACACGGTGGGTGTCCAGAAGACAGAAACGGGAGCGAGGAGGGAGGAATTAGGCCCTTCTTTTTTGATAGTCCATTTTGCCTCTCCACTTTCCCCCTCAGAGTTTATCCAGAGATTCCTGCCCCGGGAGCTCCAGATTGTCCGTACCCTGGACCACAAAAACATCATCCGGGTGTATGAGATGCTGGAGTCAGCAGATGGAAAAATCTACCTGGTGATGGAACTGGCTGAGGGAGGGGATGTCTTTGACTGTGTGCTGAACGGAGGGCCGCTTCCTGAGAGCCGGGCCAAGGCCCTCTTCCGCCAGATGGTTGAGGCCATTCGCTACTGCCATGGCTGTGGCGTGGCCCACCGGGACCTTAAGTGTGAGAACGCCTTGTTGCAGGGCTTCAACCTGAAGCTGACCGACTTTGGCTTTGCCAAGGTCCTACCCAAGTCACGCAGGGAGCTGAGCCAGACCTTCTGTGGCAGCACAGCCTATGCCGCTCCCGAAGTGCTGCAGGGCATACCCCACGATAGCAAGAAAGGTGATGTCTGGAGCATGGGTGTGGTCCTGTATGTAATGCTCTGTGCAAGCCTACCTTTTGATGACACAGATATCCCCAAGATGCTGTGGCAGCAACAGAAGGGGGTATCCTTCCCCACTCATCTGGGCATCTCAACCGAATGCCAGGACCTGCTCAAGCGGCTCCTGGAACCAGATATGATACTCCGGCCTTCAATCGAAGAAGTTAGTTGGCACCCATGGCTAGCAAGCACTTGATAAAAGCAATGGCAAGTCCTCCCCAATAAAGTAGGGGGAGAAAGCAAACCCAAACACCTGCTTCTAAAATGGTGATCTATATTTGACACTTAAACTTAGCCTATTTCTACCTCCTAAGGAGGTCCCACAAGTCCCTTACCGAGACATCTTTCCCTCTAAAGATCTTAGAACTAAGGGCCTTTTATTAATGGTTCTCAACGTGATGTTTATAGGTGTTTATTTAAGGTTCATTAAGTTAGACCTTAAAGCCATCCTGGGCAGGGAGAAGAGAGAAGGAACATGCCCCACTGGAGCTGCCCAGGTACTACAACCTGTTTTCCAAACAAAAGCAAAGGTCCTTGAGACGAAGAAATGGCCTTTTGCCTCCGGGTTGGGCTCATCCCTTTCTCCACCCAGAGGCCTCAGGACCCAGGCTGTACCCCACCTATAGTCCCAGCTCCGGGCAGGAAGTCACACCTGCAGCTGTGGGGACAGAAACATCCCCAGACACTTCTGGCTTCTGTTCAATCACTTTAATGCTGTTATGACAAATCTGTAAAAGGTTCAGGACAAACTTTGTTTTTTGTTCCTTTTTAATTACAAAACTAACAGCTGTTAGAATTTTTCTTTTTTTTTTTCTTTTCCCAGCTACAAAATACTCTGGGGAGATGCATCATAATTTAAAATATATAATATTGCACAAACAACCAAAAGGTTAATTAAACTAAAAATTACAAAGAGAAAAATCCCATCCCATCAAAAAAAAAAAAAAAAGAAAAAGAAAAAGAAAAAAGATTTAGCATTCTCTTCATTCTACCCTCTTCTCTGAAGGTTTGAAGTGAGGTGCCCACTACTCACGGTGCCCCTGTCAAGATCCCTTTAAGTCACTAGGGGATGCACCAGCACAGAATCACCAGAATTCTATCTGAAGCACCGGGTCTCTGTGCAGCCCTCACCGAGCCCCAGGTGGAAAGTCTTCAGGAAGGAGGTCCTTCCTCAGCAGAGGGCTGAGGAGAAGCAGGCCTGCAAATGGCTGAGCACGCTTCTGCTCACTTCACAGAGCTCACAGCTGGCTTGTGTCCTAAGCTATGGGAGTCAAGGTAGGTGGCTGTTCGCAGCAGGTATCCAACCAGGCAACACCCAGAAGGGCCTGAAAGTGGCTCCCTCCCTTCTTGGGGAGGGGAAGAAATACAAGAGCAGACTCTTGCAGTGGCACAGCTGGGCTAAGGACTTGGGTGCATCTGACAGGAAAAAGTCCTGGGAAGATGTAGGGATATCCCAGTGTGGGCTAAAGGAGATTCAATGTTTGGTCTTAGATTCTGAACCCATAGGACCTTTGCAGGAGTGGAAAACACTTGGGAGATTCCAGAGAGAGGCCCATTTCCCAGAGATGATTGCCTCTTACTCACTGGGACAGGAACCAAAACGCTATTCCCTGTCCCTGTGGAGCCCAGGGCAGGTGGCTAGCCTCCCTTGTTAGCTCACTAGCTTATGGCCTTCTCAGAGACCTGTGTTTCAGCTCCTGTGTGTGCAGAAGACAGCTACCCCAGGAGGTTTCCCAGCAGGAGTCCCTAGAACAGTAGAGAAATGCAGGCTCTCCGGTGGGGTTCGGGTCCTCCCTTTAAGTCATCCTAAAGTTGGCACAAGTCAGACTTCTGGATTTGTATTTGGAAAGGTTCTTCCAAGGTGTGAGCAGAGGGCCAGCAGGGAGCCATCAGAATCTGCACCAAGTTCTGGATGGTAGAGGCCATTTTGGGGGGGACATTCTCAGTGTCTTCCAAGGCTGGCTGAGATTAGCGAGCAAGGGAGGGATATGTCTTGGGTGGGGAGCTGCTTGCTCTGGCTCCCCTCAGTCCCAGTCCTCCCACTCCACATCTTCTAGCTGTAAAGTTGAGGAGATAACGAGAGCACACAGTTACTCCTCTGAGGCAGTCCGAGCCCACCTCCCGCTGCTGAGCAGGCTACCACTGGAAAGGGCCCATTCCCACAAGTAATCCCTAGCTGTAGGGACCACACTGGGGAACACAGGCAGCTGCCTGAAGGAAGGGCTTGCTGCTTTCATTGCTTTCGATTCTACTTCTACCAACTAAACCTAGCGCTGCCTCTGCAAGGGATGGCCTGCCAGAGGAGTCAGGCAGTCCCCAAAAGGAGAACCTACTTCCTGCTGAGCAGACAAAGGCCATGCTTTCTAAAAGCCAAGAACTGAGAGTGCACTGGACTATGACCAGGGTCGCAGGGTGCTGCAGATGCCAATATAGCTAAAACTTTTATCTCTCTTGTCAACTTTAAAGGAGTCACGCAAGCTTTAGGCAGTCTCGACTTGGATCCATCACAGGTCAATGGACTCTTTCCTTCCCCTCCTGTTGGATGCATGTTCTCTTTGCACAAGGTCTTCTCCAGGGGCTCTGCACCCTAACTTCGTCCTCTTGCCTTGTTGCTCTTGGCCTGTTTCCAGCTGACTCCTGCTGCAGAGGGACTGAGTGGCCTGCTCAGGTATACTGCCTAGTAGGTTTTGTTGTCTGTTTGCTTATTCTTTCAGAGAACCTCCTGAATGCTTTGGCGAGTGCTTGACCAGAGTCACATTCCCAACCAAGCATATCAGGTTCTAGAGAGCTAAAAGACAGAAGAGGGCATGGGGTAATAGTAATAGAATTACTGTAACAGTGAGGTCATAGTTGCAAAAGGTCATCAATTCCCCAGCTTTTTAATATGAAAAACCAGGTCCTTGTCACTGAGCCTGGTGGTTCACGCCTGCAATCCCAGAACTCAGGAGGCTAAGGCAAGAGGATGGCTGCAAATTCACAGCCAACCTGGGATATAGTGAGTTATCGATAACCCCCACCATGGGGGAAAAGGAAAGAGAGGGAGAAGAGGGGAGAGAGAACGGAGAGAGGAGAGAGAGGAAAACACACAAAGACTCAGACCCTATGTGTGTCTTTCTCTAAACTGCCCACTTCTGTTTTATTTTGAGACAGCTCTCCTGTCCAGTTGTTCTAGAACTCAATATGTAGACCATGCTGTCCTTGAATTCAAACTCACAGATCTGTCTGTCTGTCTCCCCAGTGTGTGCCATCATTTTCAGCTGAAACTGGACCAACTCTTGATTTGGGGAGGCAGCAAAGAATGAAAACAATCAAAGGTCCATTTAAACTTAATAGCAGGAATAGGTTTTGTGGTGTTTGTCACTAATGTCTACTGGATGACATATGACAGGCACAGCACTTAAAGAGTGTTACTTGGTTTACCTTGCTAAGAATTCTAAGCCAGCTACTTTCCATCTTTACTTTAGATGAGGACGAAAGTTAAATGACTTGGTCTCAATCAAAGGCCTTCTGTCTCCATAAGTCACAAGACCAGGGGCAAGCTTTAACATCTATATCTCTCTATTTTAATCCAGACCTAGGTCAGCCTGAATTTGCTACATACTCCAGGCAGCAATCTCCGTGTCTTCCTGGGCACTGGGTTTATACTGGGAGTGTGTCACCATGCCCTGTTCAGCATCTGTTTTGTTTTTGTTCCTTGGGTGATTGTGATACAGACCTAAGGTCAAGAACTCATTCATGCATCCAGCCTAGGACTGAGCAGCAGCATCCCTTCCTGCAGCCATTACTCCACTTGGCTGTAGGGAGTCATACTAGGGAGCAAGGACTGCTGGGAAAGGACTTCCACCCTGATGTCATTGCACTAGCTTGCTCTGGCTGACCAGACCGACTTACCTCACCGGAGGCATCCACTTTGGAAAGTGCCATCTGCACTTCTTCTTCAGTCATGTCCAAGTCAAAGTCCTTTTCCCAATCCTCACTGATGTCCGTGCTTGAGCCTGTAATCATAAGCGACATGTAATAAGCAGCGTGGTTAGTCAGGCAGGCTCACTTGTGTGTGTCTGTGCTGGCAATCTTTGTTTTGTTTCTCGAGGCAGTTTTCTCTGTGTAACAGCTCTGGCTGTCCTGAAACTTGTTCTATAGACCAGGCTCTATGGACCTGCCTCTGCCTCCCGAGTGCTGGGATTACAGGGATTTGCCACCACGACCCAGTCTGGTGGCAATCTTCAAAGGGGATGGCACGATACAACATCTTTAGAATCACTTTCATTGGGCTCAATGATCCTACTTGCAGAAATCTAAGGAAAAATCCTGGAAGTAGAAGAAAATTTAGTTTGTAAGGGATATAACTCAGTAGTAAGATAACACAACACTACCAAGGTCTAGTTAGATCCCTAGAAACACACAGGCTCTTATACTTAGAGCTGGTGATGTAGCTCAGCGTTTCCCTATATGCACAAGACCCTATATGCTCTGTCCCCAGGACTGCATAAGAGGCAGGAGAATCACGAGTTCAAGCTAGGCAAACTCTACCACCTTATTTTAAATCACAACCCTTCCCCTTCACTCCTCTCTTTTCCCCACTGCGTTTATTTTCTAACATACTCAGGTAACTATGCTTATTGTCCAATAATAAAGGGTGTAAACATTTTCTAACATATACTCAGGCTAACTATGCTTATTATCCAGTAATAAAGGATCTAAACATGAGCTCCAAGAGGGCAGGAATATTTGTGTTTTTTCCTTCTACAATTCCTGTTGTCTAGAACATCAAGTTGATACCTAATACTCACAGGCCTTTTATTTAAGTCAGCAGCTGGACAACTATTTCCCTTATCAAATTCAATCCACTGTTTCTATGGAACACAGGGCCTTCAGAATGACTCAGCGGATGCTTGGTGTCAAGTCTAACAACTTGAGTTCAATCCCCAAAACCCACAGGATGGGAAGGAGAGAACCAACTCACAAGTTTTCACTGCAAGCTTGTTTATGCACAGGTATACACACACACACACACACACACACACACACACACACACACACCTGGACTCGCTGGTTAAAAGCACTTGTTACTCTATTCTCAGCACTCACATAGCAGCTCACAACCTTCTATAACTCTAGTTCCAAGGGATCCAACACCCTCTTCTGACGTGAGGGCACTAGACATGCATGTGGAACACTGACATACATGTAAGCAAACACTCGTACGTATAAAATCTTTTAAGTGGAACAATCCTTTCTTTGGTGTTTCGAGAAGAGACCCTGTCTCAAAAATAAAAAAAAATTAAAAGTCTTTAAAAAAATTTCTTTGGGGGCAGGGTGGTGGTGGTAATCCCAGCATCTGGGAGGCAGAGGCAAAGAATCTCTGAGTTCAAGGCCTGCCTGGTCAACAGAACTAGTTCCATGATAGCCAGGGCTCTTACACAGAGAAATCCTGTCTCAAAAACAAAAAAATTTAAAATATTTGGAACAGATCCCTGTCCCTTGTTTACATGTTGTCTGGATGCTTTTAGACGGTAAAGGCAGAGCTCAAGATTTCCAGCAGAGGGCCTATGGCCCAAAGAGCTAACAGTATTTAAGACCTGGCCCTGCTCAGTTTACCACTTGCTGTACCACCTGCTGCTTCATGCAAATCTGATACAGTGCAATCTGCTTTAAACAC